TATTTGCTCAATCACTGGGGGTTTGTTTCTGTTCCCATTTGCATTCACGTTTCCGCTACGGGTTCTTGCCATCTTGATCTATACACCAAATAAGGTGAATCTAGATCTTTACTTAGGATTGACGGTTAAATCATCCTTATCACTCCGAAACGTTTATATGCTAGTTCTAATATCGTAGTCGTACGTTTAGAATCCTAAACACATAAGGTTTCCAGATCCGGTCGGCAACAGACCATAGATCCGAACAACTAACAGCATATCAGGCACAAGTATTTAGCACATAAAAGCATTTTAGGCATAATTCCTAAAATAAGCTAGTGCTCACACCTCACAATCATCGCTTAGCATTCTAAGTTTAAGTCTAGAAATAAATCCATATTCCTAGTTCGCTTAAACTAATGCTCTGATACCAACTGTGACATCCCCAAAATCACGGCCAGAAAAGACCGATTTTGTTTATGCTTTATAAAAATCAGAGTACTTCATTTTATAAAAAGGTTGCGGAATTTGTTCCCAGAAAAACATGGTAAATACGTTATTAAAACATTTTCGAAGAAACGTATTTATTTCATTTTAAAACGTTTGGGATGTCATCGTTAATACAGGAACATAAGCATAAACAGAACTTAAATTATTCACACTAGTGGTCTACATCTCTTTAAATCTCTCAGTGTAATGTCACTTCATATCAACACCTGTGATATAAATAAACTGAGTGGGTCAGGTTGGGAAACCTGGTGAGCACATAGGGATTTCAATCCCACAATGTTATACCATATACATAGTTTAAAATTCACAAAATATACAATTTCACCATACATATATATAAACAACTCTTATCCCACCCCGTCGATCCTCGCAACGAGGCTATCCATACTCTCGGACCTAAGATTAGTCGTTTTACCTACTCCATACTCTCGGATCAGAAATGAATGAATTTACCAAATCCATACTCTCGGACTAGGGATGAATGACTAATCCATACTCTCGGATTAAAGATGAATGATTATGCCTAATCCATACTCTCGGACTAGGGACAATAGCTAATCCATACTCTCGGATTAACGACGAATGATTATGCCTAATCCATATTCTCGGACTAGGGACAATGACTATGTCTAATCCATACTCCCGGATAAGTGACATATACTAACTTCTATTCTCTGAGTTTAACTCACTTGTACTCGTAAGAATATACTACCCAATATTCCTCATATTTAATTTAGGTCTACTCTTTATCCTAAATTATCAAATATAATCAGGTATGTTCTTTAACACGAATTTCAAGCAACAGCAATTAACTCGCACATAAACATATAATTAATACTTCAATCAATACTTGTATTAAAATCATGTTCATGAAAGGGACTATGCACTCACCTGAGAAGGTGGTGACTCGGTACTCGGACAACGCTTCGTTTACTTTAAAATAATTTCCTTCGACGAAACCTAGTATTATCACCAATAGATTTTAGTCTATTATTCGCCCAGACTAATTAATAGTCTAGCTATTATTACTATTATATAAGCGTTAAAAAAAATACTTATATAACCCATAATAATAGCCCAAGTATTTATTATATGTTCTTAATAACGTTAATATAATTAAATAAAACTATATTAAAAATAGCGTAGGCGTAGCTCACTTACAACGGGTTTTATAGAAAACCAGGCTTTGCTTGGAGCAGTGTTTCCGAGCCGAAAAGCTCTTCTTCTCGGAGCCGTCGAGCACTCCGGGGCTTCCGCCTCGTGCTAGGGAGGTTCCCTAGGCTTTTCGCGGGATTTCGGGGCTAGAGAGAGGTTCTAGAGAAAGAGTAAAGAGAAGAAAGAATGGGAAAGGTGTGAAGAAAATGAGGGTGGGAGAGGTGGTATTTATAGGGTGAAAATGGCTGAACTTGGTGCCACATGTCACCTTTTAGTGGCAAGACTTGGGGAGAAAGCAATGGCCAAGATTGTGCCACATCACCCATTTTCGCACAACACACTTCCGACTTCTAAAATCCGTAACTTTCACATACGACCTCCGTTTTTGACGTTCTTTATATCCACGCGTAGGTAAAAATAATATCTATAACTTTCATGTTGACTCCGTCAGCTAATTCTCGATCGATCTTAAATTTAACAGTACGAGGCGTTTAAAACTGTTAAATGACCGCGAAGAATTCGTAACTCCTTCATACGCACTCCGTTTTCGTCTGTCTTTTTACCGTTGAGTTCCTATTAATGAGATATTCAACTCTCATTTACTTCACGTAAGCCAAAAACCGCTCGAACTAAAATTCGAGTTTCGGGCTGTACACTGCTAAGCCGAATCTTAGAAAAATCATAACTTCCTCATACGAAGTCAGATTTTGGCGTTCTTTTTATCGACACCCTTAGTTTAACATATTCTACGACTTTTGTTTAGATTGCTAAGGCTAAAAAGTCTTCTATCGTAAATTCACTATTTACGTCTTCCGGTGCCGTGCCGGTTTTGCCGTAAAACTTCGGCGGGCCATAACTTCTTCGTTATAACTCGGATTTCGGCGTTCTTTATATGTACGGAAACCTTGTGACATATTCTAAAACTTGGTTAAGACTATTCATTCTAAATAATCTTTTGTTGAAAAGTCATTTTTGACCCCTATTGCCTCTAAATTGACTAGCCCGGATCTGCGGGCGTTACACGAGTGGACATGAGAGCCCGAGTCCAAGATGAGGGAGCATTACCTGGATCTATTTTCCACAGCAGACTTCGAGGAAAAAGTCTAAGTCAAGTGGTGGAGATTTGTAACATCCTGAGATTTGGCAGTTATTCCTGAACGATCCTCTATCATTACCTTGTCATTTATAGTCCTTGGGGATGGAAATGAAGAGCCAAGATAAGTTTAAGGACCAAGTTTTCAAACTTGGGGGAGTGCGTTGTGCGTACATAATAGTACGCTAAGCATATTAAGGTCCGCCTTAGTATGTTGGGCGTACACTTGTGTATGCTGGGCATACTAATGTCTGGGTGAAACACTAATATTTACGGTTTGGGGCCTATATAAGCAACATTATAAGCACCAGAACCCCCTTACCTTAGCCTCCATAGCTTACATTCATCCTCTCCAAACCCTAGCCTCTCCTTAGTGTGTTTAACCTTATTTTATGTGTTCTTGAGTGTTTTAAGAGGAAGATATTGCATCAAAGTGTTGGAGAAGAAGATAAAGCTTATAGATATGAAGTTAGCTTGTGCTTAAGAAGCTCCGGAAGGTATAAAGTTCCAAACTTTATGCATATATGCATAGATCTCATAATTTTACTTTATTATAAGAATTTCTTGTCCCAAAAGCCATAAGGTGGTGCATGTTGTGATTTGGACGAAAAGAGTTGTCCTTCCAAGCTCTTGAAGAGACCTTGAGTGATAAAAATGAGGTCCCATTATTTGTATGTGTCCTATGCAAAGAGAAATAGGGTCTTAATGGATTAATACCAAGCATTAAGAACTTTATGGACATCCAAAGTGACAAAGTTCACGACTTTATGGATCATAGGCATTTTAGGTATCTGGATCTAAAGTTTAGGCTTAACTGCTTAAGCCATTAAGCACTAAATAAGGTTTTGACAAACTATAGAGTACGACCAGCGTAAATCCAGTACGCCCAATGTATTGGGTCAGCCACCCTGATGGTGGTCAATGACTAGATGTCTACACCCCGCGTACCAGAGGAGTACACCCTGCGTACGTCCTCTGTTGGGCCTTTGACAGAATGGACTTCGACTTTTGGGCTGTTTATGGGCTAAATGGAATTGGGCCTTCGTTGGACCTTGTAAATGAGATATTTTTCGCCCAGTAGTGACAGTAGATCATGGTTTTAGACCCAATTAGGGAGTTGGGCCCAATTTAGTAAATTGGGCTAATAATAGGCTTATTATGTGGACTTTCAAGTTAAGGACTAGGTATTTGGGCCTTGACCCAATAAAGAAATTGGACTTAATGAATGGTGTGGGCATTTAGTCAAGAAGGTCTTGTTGGGTATTAAATTAGTATTTATTGTGTAATAGTTTGGGATCCCCGACGAGACAACTACTAGAGATTTGCAGTACTTCCACACTACTTGCGAGGTGAGTTATCCTCACTATATCAACATGGTCTACGGCACCAAGGTCGACCCTTTATGGACTATATAGATGAGACGGTATTATGTGTTATGTGGTATGGTCTGCTTGATCAGCTCGTTGACTATAGACTGTTAATGATTATATATTATATGTGCGCATGTTTGTTTGGCGATTAAGGCTTATCCGCTTTGTACGAAAGCCAATAGACCGCAGCATTCCATCCTGTTGGTTGTTGGCCGTGAGTATTCCATCCCGATGATGATTGGACTCATAGTATGTGGGCATTCCAACTTGTTGGTTGTGGGCCTGAGGGTATTCCATCCTAAGGATGATTGGAGCCATAGTATGTTGGCATTCCAACCAATTGGTTGAGGGTCTGGGGTAGTCCAATCTGATGGTTGACTGGACCCATAGTATGTTGTTTATGATTATATTAGACTATTGTCGTTGTATGGGTATTTTGGGGGAACTCACTAAGCTTTCGGGTTTATAGTTTTAGTTTATTGTTTCAGGTATATTATGGGTATTGTTTTATGTATGTTTCTGGGAAAAATCTGAGATTAGACTATTTTGAAACCAAATTTGTAATAACTACTAGTTTAAATGTTTTGAGAAAGTTTTAAATTGGCTTGAATTTTTTCGGTGTAACAAAAAAAGAATAAAAGGACGTAGCTTTCAAGGTACTTCAAGACTTTTATCAAGAAAAATATGATCAGTAGTAAAGTTAATGCAGGAGCATCATACCTTCATGTGATTTTCCAGTTGCATCGTATAAACTCAAAATATTTTAGCTAGCATCATCTTCGAAGATCAAGTCTTCTCCACTCTTCATATCACACAAGATTTTTTTTCTTCATTCCTGAAGACGATGTCCTGTTGGCCATAAGAGGAGTAGAGGCAGCAGTAGTCAGGCCAAGTTAGTCAAGGCGATGCGGCGGAGGAAGACGATCGACCAAATCCACATTTCGGTGCTCCAGCTTCCCGCGGCAGCGCTTTCTTAGCACCTCATCCATGGACAGGGAGGATTCAACACCTACAAATGGTGAAACGTGGGGAAAAACCATAATAACATGTCAGGATCAAGCAGAGTAAAACCCTAATCCTAAAAAGAGGAAGAATGAGGGGAGATAATTTGAGCACGTACCATCGACAATGGTGTAGAAGAACCCTTTCTTCCCACGCCGCCTCCAGGAAGGACTCATTCCCATGCCGACCAGCAGTGCCTCAGAGTAGTCCTCAGGGGAGAGCTGGATGTTCTTCAGGAGGTCATCAACACCTTGGTTGTGCAGGAACACTTTGGGAGTAGTGTTGGAAAAGGAGTTAGCACGATACCATCCACTACCCAACAAACCGCGATTCACCCACAACCACTTATCCTGCTAGTTCTTCGGGGTCCTCCCATCTGGAACTTGGGTGTGCCCTCCTCTCCGGACGGAAAAAGTGCACTTCTTACCGGTGCAACAGAACCTATAAAAGTACTTAAAGATGAAGTAGTCAGGGAGAACGCCATTGGCACGACATAACATCTCAAACGCCACTACCTTATTCATGATGTTAGGAGTCAATATCCGGATGCTACAACCGTCCTTCTGCAGGACCTCCTCCTGGAAATCGGTAAGGTTAAGGAATAGTCCGACGAAAAGGGTCTTAAAATAGACCCCCACCTTGCCAGGAGGAGGAGACATAATGGATGAGCCAGGTGATGGGAACTCAACCCCATCCGCTGGAGAGAGGCCATACATCTCCCCCAGGAATTTGTATTCAGCTTCAGTAGGAAGGGTTCCAGAGGAATTAGCCATGGAAGAGAAGAGGAAAAAGAACCCTAGAAGAAACAAAAATAGAAGAAAGGAAGCGTGAAGAAAAAGGAAAGAACAACGATAATTGTTCTTATATAAGAAAGGAAAAGGCAAGATAATCAAAATTCCTGACAAAATGACGTAACTACTAGTCGTGACGAGCGGTCACATCATCATTAAAAACCAGAACGGCGGACGAACAAAAAACAGACACGTATAGACAAATTAAGTCCAGAACGCCATAGCTAGTGCAACAACTCTACATATACCAGACTGGGGGATTTGATAACATGCCCTAGCCAGCAAGAAAGAGCCACACCCAACTCAGAAGTCTGGCGCGCCCGGCAAACCAGGCTCGGTGAGTTTAGCGCCCGCCAGTGCCCTTAAGGGCAGGGTGATCTGGTAAAAGAATAAGCACTCACCATAGGTGTCCTCACAAGAGGCTCGCACCCGCTAAGGGTGCTCTCAGCACCAATACAAATGATACGGTCATGTGATAAAGAAAGGGATCAGAGCATTACCGACAGGACCAATGGCAACGATGTGACAGATAGAGGAGCATGACCCTCCAATTAGCATCCCGGATCCTGTCAGCCCAGGTGATCTTGTCTCGTACGGACGAGAAACATCATTGAGTATAAAAGGCGGATGCTCACCACCCTGGCAGGTAAGTCGTCTTTGTTGGTTTTTGAGCATTCTAACACTCCTATCGTGTGCATGCAACCCTATAAACCGTGGATCTATTTTTTCTTCTAAAATACATGCAAATAATAATTGCCAAGGTTTCTTCCTAACTAGCATAGCATAATGATTATGAATCATAAAACTACTAGTAGAAATACATACATTTTGATGGTGGTTGATTGTTTGGAGTTTGAGAGCCTAGCACCAATAATGTGAATGCCTCAAGTGGAATCACAAATCACCACAAACTTGGAAAAACCTTGAGAGAATAATATGCTACGTAGAAATCAGCCACCACAAAGTCTCACACAACTAGTTGCCATTTCTTGCAATATGTGCATCTTTATATATTGTGGAGGATTAGGGTAAACCCTAATAAACCATGTCTTTTCCTTTCCAAGGATCCATGAGTTAAAAGCTCCATGGATCATCCATGGACCCCCATGCATGCTTAGCCCATTCCTAATGAGTTTAAGCCCACATTATATAAAATGCAATAGCCCATGTATAATTAGTTTTCCTTTTAATCACTAAATTAATTCATAACTAATTTAAGACTAAAACTGATTAAATAACATGACTTTATATTAATATATTGTAACTGATAATATATTAATAAAACATAAACATAATATTCTTATAAGATTAACCATATAAACTGTTCGAGTGAAGTGCAACCCAAATGGACCATGCCGGGTCGGGTCAAGTATATACCAAATAAGTTATGGACTTAGACACCTTATCCAATAGTCTCCCACTTGGATAAGTCTAATAACTGTATTCGCGTATATTACTTCAGGAACCAACCAGCAATCGTAGCTCTCGAAAACTCTGTTGAACTATGAAGCGCCATTTTAGATAAGTGATCATATAGTCCTCTGTTCTCATGATATCAGCCAGACAAATACATGGAACAATGTCTTACTTATTGTCTGGCAGTTGTTTCTCGATTTCCGATTTGTTTGACAAAGAACTTAACTGAACACATCAATTTTACTTCTGACCGGGCCCGGTACATGGGTCAACACAAAATCATCGAGGGGCCCAGATATTGCTTCTATTTCTAGAAGGAACATATAAACTTCGACTCATATGCTTGTTCTACTACTTGTTGAATTGTACACAAAGGCACGTTTTATAACATCAAGTTACTGATGTGTTTACGTGCAATCAATGCACAACCAACTCATAGGTAACAACTCATATCTCTAGGTTTGAAGACTTATATGATATTATCATCTCACGATCACTCGAGGTAAATTCCATGAAGTGATACCAGTGAGCGTGGGTTTATTCCAATACTCATAACTTATGAGCACTCATGAATGTTGTAGCAACCATTGCTATGACTAAACACATTTAGGCATCTACAAACTCGATTCATGACAGTCTTAATTCATACCTACTTCCAACATATGAACGACTGTGGAGTGTTTAAATAACTAAGTTATTCGGAAAAAATAGCCTAGCTATTCTGGAAGTCAAAACATGCAAAGTGAAACACAATAATAATCGAATCCAATATGGTCTCAGAACCCTTTTGAATATAAATAGAACCACCTTATTTATCACCATATTGATTACACATTATTCATTGTATAATGTTTCAAATAATCAACTTAATACTTGAATAAAACAATAGTTGTCCCATGCTCCTAGCATGTACTCTTTGTTTTCTAAACAATAGATATGCCATACTCCAAGTATGTAGACTATGTTTGTCTATGATCTTTACTTTTGTGAAATAGATCAATTGAACATGACTCCAATGATGCTCATTTCACAATCCCAAATCCTTATTGTAAATGCAAGAATTCCTAATTCCTACCATTTACCAAAAATCTGCTAGATTCTAAACTTTTATGCAATGTTCCTCTTGTAATGATTATGCACATAGTCACAAAACTTGTCAATAGTCATTACAGAGTATTCCAAAGAAGATCAACTCTATGGAAACGAAGTCTCATATTCAAAGTACATTGCTTTGAACATCCTTCTTGCATTAAGGTTTTCTAATCTTACACAGATTGAATAACTTCCACCTATGGAGACATTTCCATAGTCCCATTTTGACTGTCACTTCTGAACAAGAGTTACCTCTTTTCAGAATATATCAATATGGTCCTTTCCAACAATTTATATCATACTTCCAACTGTCCCTGAGCAACCAATCTTTGGCGAACCTCAAACTGTCCTCGACAATTTCTTAATCACTTTAGTCATATCCCGTTCTAGACTTTTCCCTTCTTAATGCCCTACGCATTTTGAAAATTTAGAAAGGATGAATATTATAGCACATGAATCGATCCTATATCCGAAGCATATGGGACATGATTCATGATGTCTCACATAAACACATGATACAAGACTAGTCTTTTGCTACAATATTTTTTATTCGCCATGTTTTCAAAATTTAACTATGAAGAGGGATGCCGTAGTCATAATAGAATTTTGAGAACACAATATATATAGAATTTCTTTAAGTTGAACCATTCCAACATAAAATACACACACACACACACACACACACACATATATATATATATATATATATATATATATATATATATATATATATATCCTTGACTAAAGATGATTAAAATCTCAATCTAAGCTTTTAGAATCGAATTGAAGTATAATTTCCTCTCCCTTAATTATAGCAAAACAATTTTTCAACCCCTGCAACTTCACGAATTGAAACCTTTTGTTTTTCTATAATTAACATTGCTAGCTTGCAACAATAATAATCATGCTCCCACTAACATGCTGATTATTAGCATAACACTTATGCTCCCACTAGCTTTGACATGTATTTAGAAATCGGTTGGACTTCTAAAATTTAGATTCATACACCCTTCTGTAGATAGCTCACACATGTGTGTAAACAATTTCAAGAACTATGAAAAGGGATGCCGTAATCACAGTCTCAATTGTTAAGACCTTTGCCATTTTTCACAAGTCCATGTTGGTGTGCCGGTTAACGACACACACTCCACTAACGACTTTTGAAAATGCAAACATCATAATTGCTATCTACTTAAAATCTTCTTAGTGAAAGCATTTCCTCACCATCATTTTCATGAATCGGAGAGAAACCTTATGACACTTAGATTTTATAGTGTATGAGTTTCTATCCATGTGAATTTGTCAAAACCATAATCACAAGACAAGGTTAGTGATAAATTCAGCCTTACATGAATTGAACTTGTTTAATCTTAATTTCTTGTCACCTGGTAGCACAAGGCCCACCAATGCTTCCAAGCTGTTATGCACACAGTTTAGAACTAACAAAACTCACATGTATAGTCAACTTAATAGGAACATACACAGAAACAAGAATTATGTCAACTTAACAGGTTCCAAACCTTAAGTCGTGTGCTAGTGATAAAACTCAGGTTTTACTCTTGATTAAATCTTGAAATCCTTTCCAGATCTTTAAGGCTCCCACTATCCTCTTGACATATAGGTTTCCCTATTCAAGAACGATTCCCTGACAAAACAAATATTCAAGTGATAGTGCGGATTCTTATCAAGACTAACACTTCACACAATTGGTCTTAGTTGGTCTTTGTCTCATTCAAGACATCACAACTTACCAATTTCAAATGTACAAGAGTAGAAAACATTTTACACTACATTTGATAAATGTTTTAAACCTTACTTTATGTCACTCAATGTTACAATCTTGGAGTATGACTCTCAGAGTTGTTTTGGAACGAAGTATGACTCATTCTCTTGATTTTAACCATTCCAACAATTCATGACCCCTCTTCTTAGTCATAACAATGCACTAAGATGTCCTTAGAGTATGAATTTGTGATATGGTATCTTAATCATTAAGATGATCATAAAACACGATACCAAAGTAATCTCCCATCTTTTCAAATTTGAGAAACTTTTATCTTTCTGCCTAATTTGATTCTTTCCCATTCGTTCTTGTCACACGTTGAAAACTTTCCAATGCTTCAAAATTATACTTAAACTTGTAAGTATAACCATATTTACTAAGCTTTAGCAAATCATGACGAATAGTCTTATCAATCTTTGTGGTGGACTTGACCAGTGCACAAGCATGTGTACTCGATCCCTTTAGTCCTATCCTTGTTCACATAAGGAATTAGTCTTAATTTTCCAAAGATGAAATTTCCGATCCATCATACAATACCACTTGTATGATTCCAAGTTTCGGTCCAATTGAACCTTGGGTGATAAGAACGTTTCCTCATTTTGGTAAATTCAGACATTACCATAAACGAAAGAATCAAATCCACTTTCCAATATTGCTATTACTGGAAACATATAAGCAACAATCTATCACA